TTTATAATTTCTATTTACTAGTGATGAATTTAAGGTCTAAATTTATTTTTTTATTATTTGACGTCATTGAAGAATACATTAAATTTTATCAAAACTAATCCAATTTGTTTAATTAGGATTCATCTAGTTTTTCTAAACTTGATAAACAATGTTTTTTTTCCCAAAATCATTCATTTTCTAGGAAAAAATGTTTAGGGTGTCTCTTTTTTCAACTACCAAACGTCTTTTTAGTGAACTAAAAAGGGGGTTCTTCGTTGAAAAATTTTTCTCTAAAATTCCGTTTTAACCTTAAAAGCAGACCTTTTTTAAGCAAACCACAAATATCTATATTTTAGATTCATGATTACATTTTTTAATTCTATAAAATCATAATCATCATGTTTTATCCGAATTCAGATTTAAAATAATAAGAGTGAGATGAACGTTTGAAACTTCTGACCTGCACATTACCCGAAATACCGTGGGGGGGGGGGGGACATTTTATACATTTTTAGAAAGCCCTTGGAAAACATTTGCAAAAATCTACAAAGGAATTGATTCTTTGCCACAGACTCAAATTTTCTAATCCCTATTTAGTTGCAACCTAATGAAGGAAACTTTTGACATTTCAAACTTGGATTATTTGATCCAACAAAATTCATAGTTTGAAATATCTATGACCTTAGGTTGCTCAGATATAGGGACTAGAAAATCAGAGTTTGTGGCAAAGACTCAACTCCTTTATTACAAAGTTCAGTTCTATGGCACTTTTAATTTTCTATATAAAAATAAATTACATAATCAGATCTTAATATATCCCTCGTTGCTATGAGATCTCCAATTATAAACCTATAAAAGATTAACTCTAATATCAAATATATTAAATATATTGTATATAGTTGGGTCCTAGCTCCAAGTTATATTGTGCTGTTCATTTTCTATCCGGTCTCATTAAAAACTTTTTAAACCTTAATTTCCTTAAAGGGAGTGTTCTCCTGTTTAAACCTTAATTTCCTTAAAGGGAGTGTTCTCCTTTTTAAACCTTAATTTCCTTAAAGGGAGTGTTCTCCTTTTTAAATCGTAATAATTCTTAAAAGGGAGTGTTCATCTTTTAAAACTATAATTTCCTCAAAGAGAGAAGGGAGTGTTCTCTCTTTTAAAACTTAATTTCCTTAAAGGTAGTGTTCACCTTGTTAAACCTTAATTACATTAAAGGGAGTGTTTTCATTTTTAAACCTTAATTTTATAAAAGGGTGTTCTCCTTTTAAAGTTATATTGAAATTGCATGTATGAAGTAACAAGAAAAAAGGAACGGAACACTTGCCTCAAACTCAAATTTTCTGATAAGGAATAAAGAATATGAGTTTGATAAAAGTGTTCTAATACATTCTACATACTACATTCTACATACTACATTCTACATACTACATTCTACATACTACATTCTACATACTACATTCTACATACTACATTCTACATACTACATTCTACATACTACATTCTATGAATTACTGTTTGTGTAAATTTGGTGCACTATTATATTAACAAATAATTGCTTTTATGCCTCATTTCCCCTTTCCCACATTTCACTACATTAACTAGATAGAAAGAGAAGGTCAAATTTATACAACATCCCCGGTACGACTTTGTGACCTCGTAGCTCCTCTAGTTTACGCACAAGTTTAAAAAGTGCAAATCTATCTATAATATCTCTTCAACAAGAGGAGTTATTCTTGGAAACATAAAAGATATCAATCTTATTTGAAATTTACTCTAGTTTGATGTGCCGCAATCTTATTTACTCTAGTTTGACGTGCCGCAATCTTATTTACTCTAGTTTGACGTGCCGCAATCTTATTTACTCTAGTTTGACGTGCCGCAATCTTATTTACTCTAGTTTGACGTGCCACAATCTTTTCTCTATATCTCTTCCAACCACATCACGCGGATTTAATAGTTAGGTCCTTGTCCCTGATAGCAAGCAAGATTTAAGACTGGGTTGACCTTGAAGCGTCGCATCTTCTTGATTGGTTCTTAGAAACCTTTCTCTTATTAAGATTTTGTACAATTTATACTTCACAAGACGCTATTATTGAGATAGGATTAGAAACTTTCAAAATTTTGAAGATTTCAATTCCATTTTTCTTTAATAGAATCTGTAAAATTATTCCGAATAAACTCTGTTCTCTGAAACCATGTTCTATGGACGTTAGACAGCTAGGGAGTTCATTGGACTAGTTAAAATTATAATTCAAATCAGACAGTCGTCTTCCTTTTCATAGTTTTATGGGTCCCACTGTATTATCTGTGAGCTATAAAAACACCAAAATGTTTGTG